CAACTGGGGGCTTGTCAGTATTCAAAAAGAGGGAGTCCAAATAAGCTATCAAGTGTTTAGAGAGAGTATAATTCGTGAAAAGAAGTTATGTGACATAAACCATGTACAGCTTAGAGAAAATATATAAAGAAGAAGTATAGGGTCAGTGACCTGAATTCTGTTCTTGGTTACACCGGTGAAAATGTTGGGTAACTTCAGTGCAGTTACTTCAGATTTACACTGGGGTCACGGAGCTCAGAATCTGGCCTTGCCCATACAAATGCAATGAGCCATATAGGGCCCAGGAAGCATTGTTCGTAGGGGAGAAGTGCAAAGGGAACTTGTTGGATGGAACCCCATTTAGTTCAAATGAGTTAATTTGCTGAGCAACAAAAATGAGTAAAGGTCTAGAAAACATGACCTATGAGGAAGATATAAAAAATTGGGTTTAGTTCATTTGGAGAAGAGAAGATTGAGAGGGGACATAACCATTTTCAAGTACATAAAAGGTTGTAACAAAGAGGAGGGAGAAAAAATGTTCTCCAACTCTGAGGATAGGACAAGAAGCAATGGGCTTCAATTGAAGCAAGGGCAGTTTAGTTTGGACATTAGGAAAAACTTCCTAACTGTCAGAGTGGTGAAGCACTGGAATAAATTGCCCAGGGAGGTTGTGGAATCTCCATCACTGGAGATTTTTAAGAGCAGGTTAGACAAACACCTGTCGGGGATGGTCTAGATCAGTGGTTCTCAAATTTTTGTACTGGTGGCCCCTTTCACATATCAAGTCTCTGAGTGCAACCCCCCCCCCCTTATAAATTAAAACACTTTTAAATATATTTAACACCATTATAAATGCTGGAAGCAAAGCGGAGTTTGGGGTGGAGGTTGAAAGCTCCCGACCCCCCATGTAATAACCTCACGACCCCCTCAGGGGTCCCGACCCCCAGTTTGAGAACCCTTGGTCTAGATAATACTTAGTCCTGCCATGAATGCAGGGGACTGGACTAGATGACCTCTCGAGGTCGCTTCCAGCCCTACGATTCTATGATGTAATGCCACTGTTTACACATTCATGATAGGGGCGGCAGCAACAAGGAGTCATTTAAACTCGTTAATGGAGTAAAACACTAAGTAGTGGTTTGGAATTAAAACGGGGGACAAAATGAAGGGCCAGAGTGTGTACCCATTATTTACACTGAGGAGTAGCACCTTCCTCCTCTGTGTATAGCACCAGGCAACATAAACACAGATATTAGTAGGGGATAAATTATCTGCATCTGGTTTCTCCATAATCGGCAAAAGTGAACATGTTCACGTCAAACTGAGACATTCTGCACAGAAATGTTGTGATTTGCATCGGCTGGTTACAAAGCCCAAGCTGCTGCTTCGAGTGATTGCTCATATCCATTCCAATTAGGCGTGCGCGCACCGCGTGCAGTCGTTGGAAAGTTTTCCCCTAGCAGCACCCGTCAGGTCGGCTGTGGAGCCACCTGGAGTGGCGCCTCCATAGCGCTCTATATATGACCTTGCCGACCTGGCGCCGCCTCAGTTCCTTCTTACCGCCATTGACAGCCGTTGGAACTGTGGTGTCTTCCTCAGCAAACTCTCCATGTTTCCCTAGCTCTCTTTACTTAGTGTTTGTTTTCCTTAGTTAGTTATTAGTTAGTATAGTGTTAATAGTTCACTGTCGGGAGTGGGAGGTTCCATTCAAACCTTGCAAGTCCTGCAACAAGCCTATGCCAACGGGCGACCCCCACGACGCTTGCTTAAAGTGTCTGGGGGGAAACTCATCAGGCAGATAAGTGCAGGATTTGCATAGAGTTTCACCCGAGAACGAAGAAGGAGCAGGACTGTAGACTGAAGCAGCTCCTCATGGAGGCGGCACTTAGACTGCAACCAGCATCGGCGTGGCAGGACCCGGCCCCAAGTGCATCGGTGCCCAGCATGACACACCTCCGATACAGGTGCCTATCCCACTCATCCTAGAGTACCTCTTGCACCTAAATCAACAAGGCCCGGCAGCATCGTCCATCAAGGTACACCTCGCTGCTCTCTCGACCTTCCACCCGGGAGCGTCCGGACACGCCGTATCTGCCAACCCCATGGTGGGACATTTTCTCAAGGGCCTGGAACATCTCCACCCCCAGATTCGACAGCCAGTTCCTGCCTGGGACCTGAACTTGGTCCTCTCCAATCGAATGGCGCCCCTGTTTGAACAGCAAGCGACTTGCTCCCTCCTCTATCTCTTGTACAAGGTAGCTCTTCTGGTCGCCATTACCTCAGCACGCAGGGTGTCTGAGTTGAAGGCCCTCACCTCTGACCCACCTTACACGGTCGTCCACAAGGATAAGGTGCAACTTAGGCCTCACCCGGCCTTTCTTCCTAAAGTTGTGTCATTTTTTCACACGAGTTAAGACATATACCTGCCCGTTTTTCTTTCCTAAGCCTCATGCCAGTAACCGTGAGCAGAGGCTGCACTCCCTGGATGTTCGGCAGGCGCTAGCCTTCTACATCGAGCACATGAATTCGTTCAGAAAGTCGAACCAGTTGTTCATAGCGGTGGCGAACCGGATGAAAGGCCTCCCGGTCTCATCGCAAAGAATATCTTCCTGGATCACGTGCTGCGAGTTAGTCAAAATCCCATCTCTGGCACTTATGGCACACTCCACGAGGCCTCATCAGCGGCGTTCCTGGCCCAGGTCCCGATACAAGAAATCTGCAGGGCAGCAACTTGGTCCTTGGTGCATACGTTCACCTCTCATTACGCCATCGTCCAGCACACCAGAGATGATGCAGCTTTCAGCAGAGCAGTGCTCTAATCAGCGATTCCATAACTCCGACCCCACCACCTAGGTAAGGCTTGGGAGTCACCTAATTGGAATCGATATGAGCAAGCACTCGAAGAAGAAAGAACGGTTACTCACCTTCTTGTCACTGTTCTTCGAGATGTGTTGCTCATATCCATTCCAAACCTGCCCGCCTTCCCCTCTGTCGGAGTAGCCGGCAAGAAGGAACTGAGGACGCGCTGGGTCGGCTGGGTCATATATTGAGCACCATGAAGGTGCCGCTCCCGCTGACCCGACGGGTGCTGCCAGGGGGAAAACCTTTCCGATGACTGTGCACACGGCGCACACACTCTCAGTTGGAATGGACATGAGCAACACATCTCGAAGAACAGTTACGGGAAGGTGAGTAACCATTCTTTTTCTGTTTGATTTGACTCCACTGAGCTAAATAAGAGTCTGTACTGCAAGTGGCTGGGTACGAGATTATAGAGACTTAGGCATTCAGTATGAGGAATATAAAAATATTATTGTTCTCTGTTTTATCTCATTTATTTCAGTGCCAGTTCTCTTAAGCTTTTGTTTGAAATGTTTGCTTTTATGTAGAACCTAACAGACTATTTGTATCTCCACTTAGTGAATTCTCTCTCTGTGTGTCTCTCTCCTCCTGCCTCTCACAATTCTTCAGTGCCCAGAATGCTGCTCTTTCTCTGTAACCGTATTCACGCTGGGTACTTTTCTATCCATCTCCAGTCACCATCCCCTCCAGCCTCTGTCATTACCATAGCTTGCTCAGACTTTCCTCCTCATTAGCTTGTTTGCCACGGCACCTCACATTCCTCTCCCCATGGAACTGTCAGCTTTATCATAATGATCTGCTTCATTTTTGTTTGGACCGTAATGCAAATTCTGGTCCGAGCTCTGTTGCTGTTGGTTTTCCCCAGGAAATTCATTCCTTTTTGATATCACTTGTCATTGCATAGATGGTGACTAGAGCCAGCATCTCCTTAGGGGTCCCTTTTTCTCTGTTTTCCTCCCCATTGCTACAGAACTAACACAATTATCCTGTTTACTTTTCATCTGCTTTAGCTGTAGAATTTTCCTCACTGCAACCTCCACTGCTTTTTCAGTAGTCAGCTTCAGGTCTCGCTCTCACCCTGCCACCTAATAAATGCACTGCAGAGCCCCTTTTCTCTAGCAAGGTACAACGTTTGCCCCTTTATCCTGCTCTTTTCTCCCCACTGCAGCCTGGAAACTGAGTCTGGCAGGAAATCAAAGCTCATGCAGGACTCTAATCTCTCTATTATAATCTTCACAGCACTGGCTAAGAAAGGCAGTTCTCAGAATCTTCCTTTCACCCTTCATCCCTTGCCTGTATAAGTTCCCCCTATGACATTTATTCTCCTTTTTTAGCCATATTTACATTTAAGGACTTCGGACATTCTGCTCCCCATAAGGGGAGCTTTCGGTTTCCTCTGTGTATGTGTTTCACATGATGTCACATATACTTCAGAAGTGATTATGTGGCATGTTTGCAGGTGATTGAGTGGTTTGCAATATCTCCACTGAATGCCTGTGGCAGGCTTCCCTGGAATATAAATGAGTCCTTCTATGCTGGCTAAGCTTGGAAAGAGAGCGAGCAAATAAGGGTGCTGTGCACCCAGTGTGTAATTCAGCCCTGTGCAGTTCTCGGCACCATTTCTCACCCAAGACCACAAGCTAAGGTTGAAGAGCGTAGCCCTTGGGGTGGCCCTCCGCACAGGATCAGTTTCACTCCATGCATATTCAGCGTAAGGAATATATGTTTAACGTTAAAGTTAATTGCATCCTGGGTTAGGGGGCTTCTTCCTTCAGTGAATCAAAACAACTGAAACATGTTGAGAAAGGGGTCCTGTAATCAACACAGCCCAAATTCCAACAATGTCTTTAAGAATGCGCTTAGCTTCATGCAGTTGAGTAGTTCTGTTGAAGTCAATGGGACTATTCACGTGCTTAAATACTGTGCTGAACTGGGGCCTGTTTTATGCCACCTGATCATGTTTATGAAGTTCTCATAGCAATATTTATCTGCTGATGAGATCTTTCCACCAATGAGGTTAGAGACCAGAGAAGGTTCATATTGTCATTTACAATGCGGTACTGGGATTTGTGCTGTTTTTGAATATTGTGCAAAGGAACTACTGAGAAACAGCACTCATTGCTCTCTCTCTTTCTCTCTCCTTTTAACTTGTGCTATAGCCCCTAGACGGATAACATCACTGGAAAAAGCTTACGCTGCTTTGAATGGTACGTAGCTCAGTTGATGTATTGTAGATGGTAGCAGACAAGAAATGTATTTGTGTTGTTAATAAGGGATCGAAACTGTGAAAACACCCCAAAGTTGCAGGTGTTTTTCCCCTCCCTTGCACTGTTTCCCCCATGGTACCAAGAGCTGAATGAATACAAGATACATTTAACAAATATTTTGTAATTATGATATGCATTTCCAAGCACCAATTATTGTAGTTTCTAGGTATCAATGCCGGTTCTGCTCTAAGCAAACTGACCTGGCTTATCTATGCTTAGCTCATTGATGTCATCCAAGTGATTAATTATTGAGAAGTCTTATTGTGCAGTTCACACAAATTATGCTGGTACTTATTTACTTAAATAAATTATTGCATATGCTAGGCCATATCCTCAGCTGGTATAAATTGGCATAGCTCCATTGACTTAATGTATGTGATAATGGACTAACATAAACAAGAACTTGCATAATTTTTGTGTATTATACAGTAAGGCATTTCTCAATGGGCATCAGTGCAGCTACATTTATTTCCCAAGTGGGAATCTGGCCCCACACATCTACATGTTAATTACATGCTCCGACATATTTATAATTACACTCAGGAAACATATGTAGAGCCTTTTAAGTACCATTGGTTTGTTAATTTGGGCCTAATGAAGTTTGCCAGCAGATTCCACTTACCCTGGTGGTATTGTGTTGATAATTGACTCAGTTCACATAGGTATTCTTTGTGTTCTAGACTTTTTTCCCTTCCTTTTTTGGGTGTATTTAGTGCAGGTATAAGGTGCTAAATTAACACCACTTCACAGAAAGTCCTATTTCTCCACAGACAGATAAAAAGCAGCAGGGCAAGCTTCTCCCTCCGCCCCGACCAGAAGGGACCCAGCCATAGGTGTGTGAGAGGAAGTTCATTCTCCCTGCCCAATTCAGTCCTCTGCTGAGCCCACCAAGCAGGATACTCCTTGTGGGGGTGTTCATTTGTAAATAACACAGACATTTGCGCACCAGGAACTGGACCTGAACCGATCAACTCACTTTATGTAGGGCACCAAACAACCATTCGGTGGTACTCACTGCTGACCTGGGTTGAATTCAAGTCAAGTGGAGGTGAAAGGCTCCCTCACATATTACATTACCCTCCCCTGAGCTACTCTATCCAGTCGGCTAAACTAAAACTAAAATTAGACTCTCCATGTCTGCACATGGGCCAAATCAACAAAGCATCATGAAGCTGGATAACCGTTTTATTTCAGTGCCTGCCTGTAGATTTGGAATCCTAGCCTTAGGCACCCACTCGAGGAATGAAATATTTTGGCCATCTTTATTTGTTTTATTTTTAAAAAGTCTGTTAAAAACGATAGTACAGCGCTGTGCCATGAAGGTTTGTATAACAATGCTTTGCTGTACAGGATCGGTACATCAGAGTGTAATGCTAGTGGTTTTCTTGAGTCAATTATACACCTCTACCCCGATATAACACGAATTCGGATATAACGCGGTAAAGCAGTTCTCCAGGGTTGCGTGCTCCGGCGGATCAAAGCAAGTTCGATATAACGCGGTAAGATTTTTTGGCTCCTGAGGACAGCGTTCTATCGGGGTAGAGGTGTATTACAATATCAAATACATAAAAAGCCAAATCAAGTTCTCTCCTGCCCAGTTACACCTAGAGAATGAACATTGTGCCCTGAAAAATGTCCGGTTAGAGCCGTCTGCAGACCTGAATGAGAAATAGTGATTGCTTCGAAGCCCAGTCACCAGTACTGGTGACTCTATGTTGTAAAAAGAAACTTTACGAGAAGAAAGCACAGTTTAGTGAAAGCCCTGCATTCTTCTGTACTTCCTCTCTGGCTTCTCTGTTGTGCATGCTCAGTTTGAATTTCCCCCACTTGTGGTAGTCTAGTTTGAGTCACCTGGTACCAACTTAGGAGCCTCACACCATCACCAAAGCAGTCCCAGGATAGACAACAAGTTCAGATCTTTTTCCTTTGATAGTCACTTGGAGGATTAGCGAAAGGGCAAAAGCTTCAGCATTTTAAATCCCAGAGAAATCAAAATGCTGTAAAGTTAGACAACAAAAAACCACTTGGTTTTGATATTTCTTTCTTTGTCTGCTACCATCTATACATCCGTATGCCCAGGAAACAGCATAAATAACAGGAAAGTCACAGAGGGAGTAGAAAGGGATGTGCAGGTGTTACCGTTGATGAGCCTACTACAGCCCTGGCTGAAACACATGCCTACTGTAATTGGAGAGCAAAAGAGAAATTCTTATTTTCTTTCTTGAAATCAGTTCCTTGTGGCCAATTTTTGGCATGTTCCTTTCAAGCTTCTTCATTGTAGTCCCTGAATACGAGCTGCTGCTTGTCCTCAGGCTTCTTTTAAAACAAACTCCTGCTTTCTGAGTTCAGTGTCTGGCATACAAAGCTATTGTCTTCCAATCTCAGCAGCTCAGAGGAGAAGCTTTTATGAGGCTGTGCCCTGAGGCTTCAGGTTACGCGCATGAGGTAGTCAGGAATGAGGATGCCATATTGCTAACTCTTGAGATTCTGTTGCGAATCTCACGCTATTTTCTGTTTTACTTAAAGCCCCAACTCCTGGAGGCATGAGAATCTCAGCTTTCATTTAAAAAGTACGTTTCTAACCCTCCTGGTTTTAGAGAAAACCTTGGAAATGTGACCTGAGTGAAGTGCATCCTAAAGGTGCAGAAACCGAAGACAAAGAAAAAGAACCAAAAAAATACAATCTCACGGTTGTTAAGCGAATCTCATGACTTTGGGGGCCTAACTCAGGATTTTTGAATGTCTGGTATTGACAGTATTGAAGACACCAACTCTGAGGTGGTTGGCAAACAAACTGAGAAAGCCAAGCACACTGGACAATAGTTCTACAAGAACAAAACCCAGGGCTCTGAAGATGATGCTAAAGCAACTCAGGCCCTGATTCAACAAAGCACTTCAACATGTGCTGAAATGCTTTCCTGAAGTGAGGCTGCGAGCATATTGCTGCTAAAGTTAAACAAACAGCAGTGATCAAATAAACTGTCAATATCTGTGCACCACGGCTGTGTAGTCAGATGAATATGAACATGTGCAGGACACAATATGCTTTCCTTTCAATACTGTATTTCTTTTCCTACCAGAGTATTCAATCTTTCAGACACTAACTGGAAGCTGACTCTCCTCGCTTAAATATTAAGGCCAATTCCCAATCTTAATGGATAACTAGGAAGAATCTGTCTGTTTAACAAAGATATTATTGGAGGGAGATTAACAGGGAACGGGGTCTTCTGATATTGTTCCCTTCCCTGCAGCCCCACATTCAGCTGGATTAGCCGGAAAGGGCTGCTTGAGAGGAGTACTTCAAAGGAGCTTCATTCCCGGACCCTGAAAACGCCATTTCTGCGGGCCAGGGAAATGAAGGGTTGAGCAAACTCTGACCACTCTTTGTAACAGCCGGCCGTTGGGCTGCTCCTAGACCTCGGGGTCAGCCCAGAATGTATTCTAGTCCTGTTTGCAAGTGTACTGTTTCTCTTTGGATATCACTGAAAGCCCCTGTCCCAACTTGTTATCAACCCGAGACAAACACAGCCTTATGTAAAGTACCATAACAAAAAACATATTTTACAATCCAGTAATGAGGCTAAAACATGTATTAAATCTTACCTCAGACAGAACAACAGGACTCTTGGGGAGAGGGGATATGAAGATGGCCCTTTGGCCACTCCTGTGCTAACACAGTGTCTCTATTACTATTTTTGAAATAACCCCCCTTCCTACTTCAGCTCCCTGGACCACTTGGCTCTATCACATGCCCAGATCACCGTATCCTACCCTGAACTGTTAACCGTGTTAGAAACAGAAAGGATGGTTCATACATCAGCAGGCTTTGTGTGTGTGGAAATGTATGTGCCACTGATCCACGTTCATCTAGCCTTGTGAGCCCCAGCCGTCCTCCCCTCAAATTCTGCACTTGTCGAGACAGCAAATGTCTTCCAGGAGTAATTTAACTGTGGACAGATAGAGAAGTTAATTTCAAGAGGATGACTCTCTATTAGGAATACTGGACTATGCTTTCCACTAGGTAGCCAGCAAGTATGCAGCTGAAGTAAATGACAATGTAATATCTTAAAAGATACCCAGCCCAGTTCATTGATCATCTGGGTTTTATAAATGCAAGAACTATCTTCTGATTTTGGGGGCGGGGGAGAGGGAGAGAGAGAGTGTGTTTGTGTGAAACTATTTACTGTTTGTTTGAAATATAGAGAGGAATGGAAAAGACCGCTGATTTATCACCAGGACCTGTAAGTCTCAGGGCTGGGAAAGCATTGCAGAGATCACATTCTGGATTCACTTGTGTTTCTCTGAACCTCCCTAAGGATGCTGAATAGCAGCAAAAAGTCTAAATAAGTGACTGTGTCAATAAAATGAAAGAATAAAGAAAAATGAAGTTTGGCATGCTGAGGATAATTGAAAAAGGCTAGAAAGGCCAGGCTGATCATATGATGTATTTATAAAACAACCCTGTACTTAGGAGCCTGGTTATCAAAGTGGGCGCTCACTCTTTTATATCCCTTGTGGGAGTACTTGGGACTCTAAGGGCCTGCATCTCCATTGCTTTGCTTACTGTGTTGTCATTTACAACCTTGCAAAGTGGACGTGAAACGCTATTGTTCGTGTAAGTGCGTGTCAAATGCAGATTTGACAGCGTTTTACACCCACTCCGCACAGGTATGAAAGAGAACACAAGGTGCAAGGCAAGGAACAGTGCAGTTTGAAATCTGTTACGTCTTGGATGTAGCAGCTGTATGGCAGTGAAATTGCATGTTCTCTGGTCCTTTCTTTGTTATCGATTATGCTGGCGGGGGGAACTAAGTGGGCTACTTGATCCCTGTATGTTCTCTTTGCAGATGAGGACGATGCAAACAGGCTTGGAGAAAAGGTGATTCTCCGAGAGCAAGTGAAAGAGCTTTTCAATGAAAAATACGGTGAGTTGCCTCTTTGCAGTTTCTTACTGAGAGCAGCTAGAGTTTAAAATTAATTAGGCTGAAGTGCTCTATTTAAGGACCGAGCACATGGCAGCTTGCTGGGGCACAGGTTTCTTCCCACTGCCCCATGTTTCAGCTCATCTCTAGAGACATTCCTCATCTCACCAGTGACTGACAGCTGGGACTGGGACCTTCTTGTCTACATCTCGGTCTTTAAGGGGGGGAGGAAACACGTCCAGGCAATAGAACTTCTTTAGTCTTGCATCAGCCGCTGATGCATTTTTAAGACGTGACAATCTGGAATAAACAGTGGTGTGCTCAGCAAATGCACCTGCCTCCTAACTCCTGGGAGCATGCCATGCACCCCACCTCTGCCGGACTTTGCTGCACAGCAAGGCTCAATCACAATGTGCCAAAACTCCAGACACAAGGCACGTTTTGGGAAAACGCGCGTGGAACAGTGGCAGAGAAGTAGGCCAGGGAGCTGAAGGAAGGTGGTATTTGAAAATACGGTTTGCAGGCTGTGTGTGTCCCATAATCCATGTACTTCCACCTCAATCCCTTGCAAACATGCAGTAGAAATAAAAAAAAACCCAAACCCTGCAGCTTTCTGTACAACATTCAGCAGTGTAATTGTCTCAGAGCAGGGATGTAGTACAGTTACTGGCGCATAACTGTGAATAGCTATTCCCCCTCCCCCCCCCCGTGGTGCTGGGTGTCTGATTTGCATAACCACTCTACAGTTATTTCTCAAACATCATGCAAGGCCCTGTACGCTGTATTGAGTGTCAACTCTTAGCTCATCGAGGGCAGGGATTTACCGAATCGCACTATGGTGATTTCTCAACTCCCATGCTGTGATGAAGCAAACAGATCTACTCTGGCTGTCTGCTATAACCTGCCTGCTCTGATAGCTTGAAAATGCTCAGTCCAGGAGCCTATTTGCCAGCAACAAAAATGCTGCTTCAACCTCCTGCTCTGGAGCAGAACATCCCCGCCTCCCTTCCACCCCCTCTCCCCGGAGAGAGAAACAAAAATAACAGCAGTAATGCCAAGAAAGTGAGAGTGCCAAGCAGTAGAAAGGGCAAGGGCTAATCGCCCGAAACACATTTCCCTCTTTTGATGTTCTCGTTCCTGCCCTACAGACCAGGAAAGCCAGAACTATGCAGTGTTTGGGTTTACATGGGGAATACCCCGGCTCCTCCCTTCCCATTTGGTTTTGACGTTCAGTGTAAACAAAAATTCAGTCCAGATGTTGAGAGAAGAAATCTGCAGATCCATACGAGGGGGCCAAAAGGGCCTTCAAGTTTGATAGAACAATGTCTCGCAGCAGTCGAACAGCCCATGTAGTTGGATTGTTTCATTTAAAATTTCAGTAGGACGTGTGTCACAGCCCTGATCATGCTCCCCCTGGTGGGCACTTACCAGGCTGCTGTGTTTGGGCCAATATGTTTTTGAGCACCCCTTTGTCCCTGGATAAGCTTCAGACACAAACTCTGGTTCCCGCCTCTCTGGTATGCTCCCTAGGGACAGACTCTCTGATATCCCTTCTGGAAGAGGGACCCTGTGAGCTAGTTGTGACCCCCCAGGACAAGCGCTGACCCCCAGATCTCCACTCTTGTGAGCATTCTGGTTGATTGTTTATCCCTCCAGGGACACACAATAATTGAAAAAACGAGGAGTCCTTGTGGCACCTTAGAGACTAACAAATTTATTTGGGCATAAACTTTCATGGGCTAAAACCCACTTTGTTTTTGCTGATACAGACTAACACGGCTACCACTCTGAAACCTGTCTCAATAGTTGAAGCAAACAGGCACGGGCTTGGCAAAGGGCTTACTTAAAAAAAACAATCACTGTTCCAAGAGAGATACAGATCTAAATCCTGTAATTCCATGCCTGAGTTTCCTCACCACTCTTCAGTGTTCTTTGGGATTTGGTCCGTCCCCTCTCCTGGACTACACTCCTCTACCCTATGCTTCTTTTCCTATTCTGGTCAGTGAAAGAAAGGTGCTGCCTCCAACTTAGCAGGCCTGCTCCTTTTATAACTTCCTGTCTCCTTTTCCATGTGACCCTCTGGTCAGCCGCAACCCCTCATCCCCCCCCTCAGGGGATCTGTTGCTTAATCACTACCCTTCTGGAGCCAAGACTTGAAAAACTGGTTTGCCCTGGGTGGTAGTCAGCTCTTTGTCCAAGAGTGCTTCCATTTGAATAGGACATTATCAAGGTTTAACGACCCTGCATTGTTAGCCCCCTGTCACCACCCTTGAAGTTAGAGATGGCACAGAAGGCACACAGCTTACAGTCCAAATGGAGTTTGTAGTTTGACATAGGTACATACAGAGAGAGTTCATAGCATCACGTAGAATCCATAAATTGCACGCAGACAGATTCCTTGGTCATCACAATGTGACAAACTGACAGTACAGTTTATGATTAACGCCATAGGAATGGGCTAAGGTCATGCCCCTGTCCTCAACAGAGCACATGTGCTCAGGCCTCAAAGGTATTTAGGTTCCTAAATTCAGGAACCTAAATACCTCTGAGGATCTAGGCCACACATCCTAGTTTCCATGACTCCCCTCCTACCTGGTGATTGCCTTTATGGCCAACTTAAATATAGCACCACATAAACCTCCGCCTGAGTTTGGCTGGGTCCAAACGTTCCCTCTAGCACCTCCACTGTACTAGATGACTTGTTTTCTTGGACTTAACAAAATACTCCCCCCACACCCCTTATCCCCCTTTGTATCCTGGTTAATGCCATGGTTATTACTAACACGTTCCTTGGCTTTCAGACTGTTTATCTTCTGTAAATATGTAGAAGTGACTTGACTTTCAGTGGGGCTCGTGATCCTGAACCTCTTAGAAACTTCTGATAATTGGTTCCCCTTTGTCCGTTAGCCTCAATATGTATTCAGTCCAGGATGTGGTTATTAGAAGTAATTATAATACTTTAATCTTGTTATATTTAGTCCTTTTGCATGAAACAACAAGTATTGCTGTGTAACCGATGTGGGCACAAAGCAGTTTGGAAAAGCCACATTGCCTTGTGCCGTGCTCCGCGGTAGCTATCACTCTGCAGGATCCACAGATGGACTCAGCCAGCAGAGCTAATGACCGCGTCTGCTTTAGGTGTCGGGTTCCTGAACGTAATGGTTACGCACCCAAGTGACCCAGTTGTATAGGTCGTTCGCCGGATGCGGAATTGTAGCTTGGCCAATGGTATGAAGGCAGAGTGCTTCATCTGCCACTCTGCAAACTGCTCAGTGTCAAGCTCAGAAGCTGTTCTAATCCAGGCAAGGAATAAAGAACCTGTGGCAGATGTTCCATGTAGAGGGAAATATTAGGTTACTGAGTCAGTCTGTTGGTTTCCAGCAGGAAGAGCCAGCTATTGAACAACAGCTGCATAGAAGGGTGGGGGTGGGGGAAAAGTGATCCTTACTGAGTCATGGGAGGGAGAGGGAGCATAGAGGTTTCTGTTACAAATGCTCCAGCTGCCTATGAAAAAGAGAATGCAAAGGGGACTCTTCTCTCATTGCAATGGCTGTGGGTGATCCCCCATTCCACTCCCTCCCTCTCTCTCTTGCACACACAGTCTGTCTGTTGCTGGATAAGTTCCAGATGTAAAACTAACACTTGTTTGCTGAATAAGTATTGTTCCACTTATCAGAGGGGTAGCCGTGTTAGTCTGAATCTGTAAAAAGCAACAGAGGGTCCTGTGGCACCTTTAAGACTAACAGAAGTATTGGGAGCATGCTCGGGTGTCGCATAACTATTGTTTCACTGTATAGTCGGGGCGCTGGAACAATTTTTATAGTGGGGGTGCTAAGAGCCATTGAACCAAACAATCAACCCTGTATATAAGGGAAACCACTTCAAGCCAGGGGGTGCAGTAGCATCCCAATTTCCAGAACCTATGCTGTATCGTTATTGCTCCTCGTCCATTTGTGTAATAAGCTTATTGCATGAGTTAGATTGAGAAACAGAGGGCTTGACTCCGCTCCGCCGAATAAAGTGTAGATCCAGGAGTAACTCCACAAGAGTCAGTGGGAATATGCGGGTGTACCACTGTTGTATGTGGGATCAGAATCAGGGCCAGAGAGTCCAAATTCCAGTTTTGGTTTGTATTATCCAGTTCCAGCCACAAAACGGTGCATAGCCCCAGATTACCAGATTATTCCATAGCTGTCCACTCTGGTGTTTTACATCTTCCTCTGACGCATCCGGGACAAAACTCCCTACTGGATGGACGTTGGGTCTGAGCCGGTGTAACTGAGTCCCTTTGATACAGGAGCTAGTGCATTCCCTGAACAGGCCGTACCCAACAGCAAATGTCCGGTGGGACTTGGAACAGTTGGTAAAGATGATCTTCATGAAAAGAAAACAAAACTTTAACCTGCAGTGCTTGCATCGTCAAAGTATAGCCTTGGGGTTTTTAACACCCAGTGCTCCCCTCTGACCTCTTCGTGTCTCTGGAGATGGACAAGGTATAAGAGGGATTATCAGTAAATGCTGATGAGGTGGCATATATTGCAACTGTGGGCTGTCACTTTTCACATAACTTGATCAGGACCAGAACACCTTACCCACATTCTTTGAGGGTGTGGGCATCCCTGGTGCATCAGGTTATGTTATGACCGTGAGTATTTAGATGATACCTACAGATACAGATATGGGATGTGTATGTAAATGCTTTATTACATGTATTTCATAATAGCCCCAACTGTGCCTATTAGCAAGATTGCTTAACAGGGACCATGGAAACTGACAATAAATAGGACAGACAGACATGAAGCAATTTCATCATCTTGTAAGGAATTAGTATCCCTTACTAAGGCTGGGTTCGTGAAAAGAAAAGAGGGGTTGTAACTTAATCTGATAGAGCCAATAAATGTTCTTTTTCTCTCCTTGCAAGAAGTTTGAGTGCAGATATTCAGAAGTATGACTTCTCCAGGAGGTCATTTAAAGCAATACCCCAGTAATGTTGAAATCCCATAGTGAAGCCAATCTTCTTGACTTCCAAACCTCTAGGCACTACCATTATAATGTGCCTCTGACTCTTAAACCTGCAACTGATTGGTTTGGTCAGTGAGCCCTAAAAAAAAGCCCTGGGTGTATTTTCCTTGTGTGAATTCCTGACTTCTAGGGAAGAAGCTGAGACATCGGTACGCTTGCAAAGATTTGATTTTTATCAGTAAATGTTGATTTCATTACACACAGAAGAAAAAATATTTCCATCAATAATAATCAAAAGGTACAGATAAGCAAAGTAAGAAAAAGGCTGCTTGAGAACTTATTTGAGTTTGATTGAAGGATATTTATTTTGTATATTTTGACATGTGATATTGACAATTGGTGTTTTAATGGTTATAAAGCTTTAACCTTTTGGATCTCAGTATTTACTGTCATTAAAGATTTGTTGTCTGATACCCACCATAACTTCAAACAGCTGAACATCTAAATCAATAAAAATCTTTAAAACGCTTAAAAACAAACATTTCTATTATCCATCAAATTATGAAAAATAAAAATCGAATTCTACCAATCCTAGACATTGGAAAGCTTTCAGAATTCCCCCAGGGGATGTCTTTTCCTTCCTTGAATAGCAAATCCATTCTCTTCAGTAAGTGGTTTGGTATTTACACTTTGAAAACAGTTTATTAAGCAAAATATGAAATGTCTAGGAAAATTGCATTGAGTACAGTGAGAATCCATAATTTTTGCTTTTGAAATACTCCCTCAGGGTTCAAAGGCCTCCACTTAATGTTCGCTTGTCACATTGGCCTCTATTCTGCTGTTGCAGGAGAGGCTTTGGGATTGAACCGGCCAGTCTTGGTGCCATACAAATTGATCAGGGATAGTCCTGATGCTGTTGAAGTTACTGGTCTGCCAGATGATATCCCTTTTAGAAACCCCAACACCTATGACATCCACCGGCTGGAGAAGATCCTGAAAGCACGAGAGCACATCCGGATGGTGATTATAAACCAGCTCCAGTAAGTCTCAATAGCTCCTGTACTTCCGGGGTCTTTTCTAAACATGTAAGTCCAGAATCCCCATCTGGTGTAAATTGGCATAGTTCCATGGGTTGCAATGGAGCTGCAACAGTTTACACTGGCTGAGGATCTGGTCCATAGTATCTTCTGGTTTACATTTGTAAGACTGTTCGTTCTCTCAGCTACGTGAGGAATCCTGCCAGGCTATGGAATGGTTGGGGTCCAATTCATATTCTTAGGAAACAACATAAGGCAGCGTGTCCTCGTCTCTAGCAAACAACTGGCTAAATTTCAGGGGAGCGATACCAATTAACATGATGATCTGGCCCAATGAACAGACCACTGATGTTTTCATTAGGCAGTTGATCACATTGTAATGTATAAAGAACACTGTTAACGAAAAGCTTTGTTAGGGTGATATGGCCCCTCTGCACTGAGCTAGAGGGACGCTTCCGAGGGGTAGTCAGGGTTGTGAGGCCTCTCGCCACCACTTGCCCTTAGTGTGAGCCTGCCTGGGGTCAGCTCCCTGAAACTACCAGCCTCTGGCAGCACAGGCCTCGCCCTCTCTGGTTAGCAATAGGCACACGCCAACCCCTGAATCCTCTGAGCATCCCTCTGGAGTGTTCAACCCCATTCCCCTGAACTCTCACAGAACTCTGATTCGCTACTCCCAAAGGAAGAGCACACACCAGCTTCTCAGGATCACCCTCTACTTAACACACAGTGCTTAGTTATACAGAAAGTGATAACCAGAATAAGTCGATGAGTAAAGAACAGAGATACAAATGATAGAGAGTGAGACTATTGGAAACAAGTGGTTACATATAAAACAAAATCATAACCTGCTTTCTAGAGTCTTGACTTACCTATCAAGGCATTCCACTGTCTCTTAGAAGACAGCTTGCCTCACGTCTTTTCCCCAGTGTTTTCAACCAGTCTGGCTGAGATCCCATCTCAGAAGACCAAGCCTGCTGGCGGGTTATCCGGACAGACTGAAGGAATTCCTGGGGTTCAGCTGCACCCCAGATAGAGTTTCAAAAGCTCATTGTCTTACTCTAGAACAAGATAAATCCTGCTGGTTTTGTTTTTGTCTCCAGTCCCCTCTACCTATTGATTAGCATTTTGCCCAGATGGTAAATGGACATCCATTATGAACCATACAATACTCAATTTGCATATGACCAGCCACATGTGTATGTGAGATACACATCTTTCCCCCCTGCTTGCCTGGAGTATGTGGACCATCCTTTGGTGACCTACCTTAACTCACAAACCTACAGAACCTAATTTTTACTATATACTGTATCTAACTGCTCACATATTTCCCATACATACATCTCTCAATGATTATGATGACCAATGTAACTCAGGATTTCATGAGAGATGTTATGTGACCCCTTTGGGTGAACCCAGGGGATCCCTGTGCTCCTGCCAGTTGGCATCAAGAGGTCTTGGATCACAGAAAGAAGATGGGGGTTATATTTTGTTCGTGTCCTCGTAGCTAAAGATTGTCCGAAGCACTGAAAATGCTTTGGGCTGGTCCATTTAGAATCAGTTGGTATTGTCTCGGCAAGTCTCAGATTTGCAGCCCTACCATATATCTAAAACTCAAAAGAACAGTGTGCCAAGGTTGCAATTTTACTCAGAGTAGTTAGAGTGGATTCTTATTCTGATCAACCGTTTGATGTACAATCTCTGCTAAATATACCATAGGTTGAGCCCCACTGGTCTACATCTCCTCTTCTGGTTGCCCTGGTTTCACCCATGAAGGTTCTCCTCCCTTGGGGAGCTGGGTGGGAAAGATGATCTATTCCTCCTCTCTTTTGTTGCTGGATTTGTGGGTGGATGATCCAAAGAGGATTGATCCTGGGTAGTCTGGGAGTCTGAGTTAAGGAGTATTTTGGTCTGTGTTGGCCTTCTGGGTTTTTTCTGTGGCAACCTGTAGCTCCAGTTGTCTAAGGAGGAATCAGAATGGGCTTCCAAATGTTTCCTTTTTGCCTGGTGTTTTTCACAGAGGCTGAGAAGAGTCTTTCTTGGGGGGATGCTGTTGTCAGAGTGTCGGATGCTCAGGGCGCTGTTGGGGAACTCCTATTCAGAGAGGAGTCCTCTGAGATGCAGCTGCTGGTACCTGTGTGGGGTGGGGAAAGACTCTGGGGTGGAGGTTGGACTGTGTTCTGCTTATCTCCCCTGAGAAGCCTAGTGCCACCCTAGAGCTATGTGGGGGGACCTGATGCCCGTGAGGCTGAATACATGAGAGTGGGCGGTGGCTGCATGGAAAGGCTGCTGAAGGATCTGGTTTCTGCCAGTTCGTTGTTGGAGGCTCCTGGCCAGCTGCAAGCTGTATCCACGCACTGTTAGCAGTGGGTCTGAAGTCCTGCTGGTACCAAGAGCGCCATCCTGTACAGTGCGTTTTGCAGTCCGACGCCTCTCCTACCTGCTGTTCCAAAGGGGAAGGGGCGGGATTCAAAGTCTGGGGTCTGTTCAGCACACTTGGCCAGGACCTTACCCATATGCCAGGAGGGCGCACGCCCCAGGAATACTGCCTGGGGAGCCAGCCTTCTCTCGTGGACTCTGCTCCTTCATCCCGATCCTGCTTGCAAAAATCGCAGGCATCTGCTGCAGCGCAGGGCTGGAGGGAGCATGACCAGGAAATACACTCTCTGGCCTTGAACTTTGACCTCTTCTCCTTATCCCCTCTGGTGGCCACTGGGAAGATAAGTACCCAAGGGGTTGCTGTGGGATCCCGGAGCCCAACAAGGAGCAAAGCAAAGAATTGCTTAGATGTCCAGATGAGCAATTTTCAGGTCATTTTCCTAAGGCTAATAACGCTGTGTGCAGAGGACTCGGTTTGCTGTGTGCTCCGCCCTAGATGGGGAGCATTCTGGGCCGGCTGCCAGAGGAGACAGTCCCGTGCCCTAGTACAGTCTCAAAGGTCTGGTCTGCCTCCAAACACACGAGACAGAGGAAACCCCACTAGGAGATGGTTAGATCTGCAAGGGATAAAGAACATCTGTGCCCTAACCGTTCACAATCACTAATCTCCACCTTGTTTCTTACACAGACCGTTTGCTGAAATCTGCACTGAGGCCAAACAAACAGGTAAGCGCCATGCGAAAGCTCTCCTTCCAGTGGAGCAAACTGCAAAGCAAAACATACAGATTGTGGCACAAAAATACACAGGAGGCCAGACTCCAGGGTTTAAAAGAAAATAGAGCAGGCTAGTTAGGTTGATGTTTGTCTTCTTAATCCTCTCCATCTTCTCATCCAGCTGGGGCCTGAGACAAAGTCTGGGGTTTACCCAGGAAGGAAAACTCGCAGGTCTGGCTTCTCTTCAGCAGCTTTCCTGAGGCTGTGTATGAAAGGGAAACAGGGGCTGTAGTTTTAGACTTCAGATTTTCAGTCGCCTAGGGGATTTGAATGCCCTTCTCATTAATTTTAATTGCTGTTGCTGAATAAATCCCTCAAGATGGCTTTGAAAATCTGAGCCCTAGTAGTTTTTTACTATGCAAAGATGAAAGCATGTACTGTGCTTGAGAGGAGTCCGTGCTCTCAATCCAAGTCCTACTGGACGCGGCTCCATTTCACTAAAGTCACCAATGCGACTGGCACTCGTTAGCTTCCAGGTTGGCAATCTCTCAGCAGGAAGGCGATGGATCAGAGGGGCACAGTGACCTAAATGACCTCTAATGCCCTAAGAAGTATCCTGTGAATAGAGAACTGAAGTCTGACCATGACAAGGTGAAGCAGCAGCAGCCTGGAAAGGGTTACAGGTCCGTGCCTATCACAGGGCTGAGCAGGATATATAAGAAAGAGGAAGCTAGGCCCAGGGGGCAGAGGGAGAGGGTGTGTTTTCTTTTTCCTGGCTGGTGGAGGCAAGGGAAAAGCCTCTGGAGATGTCTTTTGTGTGAAACCAGTATGCCCTACGCCTTGAAAGGGACTGGGTGTGGTGTTTGCTTCCATTCCTAAGCTAGAGAAAAAGCCATTCAGATAACCCATTTCTTTCCCATCCTCCCCTTCAGAAAAGGACAACAGTGTTCCCAAACGAAAGCGGAAGAGGATCTCTGAAGGGAACTTGATATCATCCTCATCGTCCTCTTCCTCTTCTTCCTCTTCCAATATGGAGTCCACATCGTCAACAAATCAGATCTCACTTGTGGTAAAGCCTTCTAAACGTCAACCAAGTTACTGCATCTCTGTCTAGCTCAGGGTTCTTCCCCTACCACCCTTCATCTCTTTCCTTCGCTGGCCCTAGAAATGCTATAAACCCCTAACTTAGAATGACGACACCCAGTCTCGTAAAGAAGGGGAACGCTCGCTTTTGATCCGCTGTCCCTCTGTTGCCTCTGGGAAGAGCTGGCTCATCAGCAGAGCAGAGAGGCCACTCGGCATCTCCCCTGCACCAGTTCAGCATGCTCTGCAGGGCTGCCATGGGCTGGCCTCTGCCAGTGTCCATCAGTGAAGCCTTCTCCACGATATACCGATGCTGCCGAGGGGAAGGTAGTGGTGGCCAGGGCAGGAATGACTTGGTGTCCTGCCCTGAGAGGCGAACACACCACAGAGAGCAGCCATTCCAATGCCTGACCTGCCTCGCAACCGCATGGAGCTTTCTTTTGGCATTGTTGGTGACTCAATCCTGCAAGGTGCAGAGCACTCTCAGCCCTTTCGGCTCCAATAGACTTGAAGGCAGCACTTTCCAGGATCTGCCTCTGGGAGGAGCAAGTTACAATGTAGTCCCCTTTCTCCCTTGCACGCGCCCCACACCCTTCTGCTCCCGTCAGCACCATGCAAGGAGCACTCGGTGGCAAGGGTTATGTCACGGAGTGCAGGGTTCTCAGCCTGTGAAGATACTTCACATGTTCCAGACACACATCTGAAAGATCTAAAAAAGTCCCCAACTCATAACCAGATGCATTATTTCATAAACCAGCCCTGTCAAACTCAGGGAAGCGCTGTTAATGTGCTCCAGCTTTCCATGTGCTTTGGCCATTATGTTGTATGATGGCTCTTTGTTTTGTTTTTTATATGTATGAAAAGGTGAATATTTTGGGAGCGGTGTGAAGCTAAAATTTCCTTGAAGTAGAAACTCAAAGATGTAAAAACAAGAACAGACATCAGTGGAGATTCATGGATCTATTCTAGCTAAGGAACTAGCCTTAGTTATTTATTAGCAATTATTATTTCAAGCATAATTTTAAAAAAAAAGCAAAAATATTAATATATTTAGAAGTTATTTTGAGTAGGTTTTATGGTGTTTTATTTTATTTAAAAAGAAAATCTTACTTGGAAATTGGAAGACTTGCCCTGTGTGTGAGCGTGACAGAAACTTGATCAATGCACGTTTTTGCAGAGTATTTTGTCCTAACAGCATTTTTCTTTCTCTCTCTCTTTCAGCAATGGCCCATGTACATGTTAGACTATGGTGGTCTAAATGTCCAGATTCCAGGACCTATTAACTATTAGACCTCAATACTGAATCAGAACCTCAAATGACAGAATAAATAAATAAATGTAATTTATGTAAAAAGTGTATATTCTAATATGTATCAATGCCTTTTAGTTTTTCCAATGATTTTTACACTATATTCCTGCCATCAAGGCCTTTTTAAATAAAAATAAAAAGTGTTGCCTTGCTCTTAACAGTATTTATTTTATTATTTGTATTATTGATGAAATCCATGGTAGGTAAAAATAAATACAGAAGAGCACCTTCTGATGGACAGCTGCATACCTCATCGTACCTTGCCTCCAAAATAAAATGGGTAGTGTCTAGAGTTTGAACCCCTGATTTTTGACACACGGTTGTCATGCTTCATTTGCCACTGGTGTCTTCAGACTTCAGTCAACAGTTTTTAAAAAAACAAAAAACAAAAAAACCTTTTCTTGATATTGAAACATCGCCACAAAATTACAACATGAAGTATGGATGAATAAACACTTAACAGAAACAAAGAACAGGGCCCGGATTCCCATTTATGCTCAGGCCCATTTACATCACTCTAGCAGCTTACAGGGGCTTTAAGGTGAGTAGAAGATTACATGTAAGCCCAGTTTAAGGAGTCTTTAGCCCACCAGGGCAGGTTAAGGGGGGTCTTACTTTGTATGACCATCTGTTCCTGGATTACTACCTCGACAACACTTCCTCAGTTGTCTCCTGTGCCTGTCATTTGCACGTGGCTATTGTCCCTTAAATCAGAGAGAAATTCTTCCGAGAGCTCACGGAATTCCTCAATTTAATCATCCTGGATGAAATGCATCTCTGGGGAGAAAGCCTGTACGTGGCCCAGGCATCACTTACATCCCACTTAAGCCCAATTTTGGGATTTGAGAGGTGCATAGGATTGGTGCTGGCCCTCTACAATAAGGGTGAATTCCACCCTCAGCTCACAAATAAGATGAAGCCATTTCTGCTGTATAAATTGACCAGTCTTTTAAAACTATAAGAGCTTATTCATTTCCTAAGGATCAATTTCTTAACCAAGGCGATTGTAATCCATTTTTTAAAAGCTTTGGAGTCTCATGGATTGAAGAAAACTCAGGTAGGTAGCTATAGTTCTGCCGCATCTAGTGACACATGATACTAGACTATTTCTATAACCTTTGAATAAAAAGTTCTACCATTAGGACATTTCAAGTAACGTGTCAAATTACTACCTTCGTTCCCATTCTTTCAGCACACGTCATTGTCCAGTTGGCAATAAACTCCAGCAAATCATTTTAAATCGCTGCAATCTCATTCGCAGATTATTGTTGTACACTCTAATATAGCTGACCAATGTGTCTCATCAAAGCACTTATTTAACATGCACTCACATGTAGGCAAGAGATTGAAAAGCCCAAGTAGGATATGATAGTCAAGGTAGGTCAGGTGCTCAGATAATACAGCAATGAGGACCGTATAATAACCTGAATAGACTAGAATCATTATTTATGGCTTTGAGATTAGCCAAGAGGAAGAGGCAAGCTGTAATACTGAAAGAAGATGACTTTAAGTGCTGTAGTTAAACATGAATGCAGATAACTTGACGCTCTGTGAAATCTCGGCTGTTGATTGCTTCTCAAGTTAAAAACCACTTGACAACAATGATGGCAGGTCCTTCAGATATAAATCCCCCACAGACACATCCCCATTCCTCCCAATAAAGGAAGCTAACCCCCAGTTTGGTTTAGTATAGTTCCAGACTGAAGAAAGATGGGTTAATTTTGGAAAACCATTGCTCAATGTTGGTGCTCATACCCAGACATCCTTGCTATACTTCACTATTGGGTTTGCCAGCGTTTTCCACTGGTGCATTTCTAGAGCTTCTAAGTGTATCTAAGAAGGAAGGAAGGTACTAGATCCAAGAAGAGAAGCCAGTTGTGAATACCCTTTTACAATGTAATATGCTTCTATATTTGGAAGACCTAAGCCACCTTTTTGTAGTAAGGGCTTCACATCTTTCTACTTTAATATTGGTCTTTTCACTTCCCACAGAAGCATTTTTGATCATACCTTGAATTGTTTGAAAGCTCTTGGGATTTTATATCGATTTCCTTGACCTCCAGTCACTGCTGAGTTAGATGCAAATTGTAACAAGAAACAACTTCCTCCACAAGTTTCAGAGTAGCAGCTGTGTTAGTCTGTATCCGCAAAAAGAACAGGAGTACTTGTGGCACATTAGAGACTAACAAATTTATTTGAGCATAAGCTTTCGTGGGCTACAGCCCACTTCTTCGAGAAAAGGCACAAAGCCAACAACGAAGGGAAGGGCAAAGAGCTGTATTACTGGGCCCAGCTAGAAGTTCAGTTTCACATCAGAAGAGCTGATACCTACATTTCAAGTCTTCCGTCTGGCTGCCACCCAAACCCAGAATATTGCCAAGTAGAAAAAATAATTTCACACATAAAATTAATTTCCTTTTCTGAAATTTATTGTCGAATCAAAGCAAGCCATCTAGGTGCCTGCTAATAAAGATGGATTCATTACATTGTGACTGTTTCATTTTAAAAATTCAGTTCAGTAAAACTGAAGATTACTGCGTCTTTGTAATAAAGTTAGCTTTACTGCATCGTTCCAAGTTTCCCACAAATTTCCTTGCTGTTCTTTACGTACATGGGGTGGTACTGTTTGCAGAATTTAGGTCTAATGTACTGCATAGTTCATGGGGCCTTAATTACTTGTATTAAAAGGCAAGGGTTAAATTGAGTCAGTGGAGTTAAATTAGGATAAACAGATGTGTCAGAGTTACCCTAGGGATGAATTTGGTCCAAAAATTGTAATGGAATCATAAAGGTTTCCCCTTTCAAGCCTTTCTTGATTACCAGGGAGGAGTCACGCAGGGAATCAGGAAATGGCCGTGTCATGGGCTGATCTCCAGTCAACCTTATGGCCATGCCTCGCCTCCGTGTCTGTTCAGAATTACAGTGCTTGTGCAAAGGGACCCCTCATAACCCAAGGCTATGATTCAAATACTCCTGTTTGTCCCCGGAGGTCTAACATCCACCTGAATGGATGCACTTCCCATGCATGCACTTACTGTAATTATGTGCCTGAGGTGAAATGGGAAGAAGATGACAAACAAAGACCCTGCGTTACCTCTTTTACCCGGGCTACAAGGAAGGAACAAAATAATTTTACCAGTAATTTCTGCCCAGGACCCAAGGGCCTCATCCTGGGATGTGCTTGGTCATATGCTCAATGTACACTTATCCTGTCATAGATTATTCACAAAAAGAACAGGAGTACTTGTGGCACCTTAGAGACTAACAAATTTATTTGAGCATAAGCTTTTGTGGGTTACAGCCCACTTCTTGCTACTCTGAAACCTGTCATAGATTATTCAGAAGCTGAAAAGCTGGTGCTGAAGCTGCTGCCCTGTTTCAGTTTCCAAGCTCTGTTCTTTCGGAATTGCTCCCAATGGAAGTGCCTCTCTGAAGGAGTTCTTCATTTTAAATGAACAATTCCTACCTTCTTTTTTTATCTCCACTAACATTTCTTTTCCCCTGTTACTTTCTCTTTCATTTTATTAGATAGAAGGAAATACAAGAATAACACAGATATGCATTAGTAGGCTACTGGACCAATAATTTATAACTTTGGGTACCAAAACCTGGGTGCCTGACTCTAGGAACCTCTCAATAAAAGTGACTTGCTGAGAGGAAGGATAGTCTTGTGGTTCAGGCACTGGACTGGGACCCAGGAGGTCTGGACTCAGTTCCATGATTTTTCACAATTTCCTCTGTGACCCTGGCCACACCACTTGCTCTTTCTCAGCCTCAATTCCCGATCTTTAAAATAAGGATAGTATGAGAATGTCTGTGTTGTCTATTTAGATTGTAGATTCTTTGGACCGAAGACTGTCATCTTACTATGAGTATGTACAGCTCCCAGTGCAATGAGGTCCTGATCTTGGTTGAGGCTTATTAGCTGCTACTGCGATCTACTACTACTAACTTTATTTTTAGAAGTGATGAACGCCAATAATTTCCAATGAAGTCTACAGGATCTCAGTCCCACTGAAAATATGCCTCACTTAGAAAACGTCCATCATTATGCTTTGTGTTATTCTGGAACATGGAGGCATTTGAAAAGTGAATTCTAACCTTTCCCCTTTGGAAAAGTGATGATGATTGCTTTATTGGTGTTTACAGTCAGATATAATTCCAGCAATTTCCATAATCTTGATCTTTTCATTTGTGGTGTATTTTTACACACGGCTTTTGTCTATACGTGATGACATACCGAACGGAATCTCTTCCATTGCAATTAGAACACTGAAGATGCAGATCCTAACACTTCAGCCACGTTTCTCATTCATTACTTTTGAAAGAGTTTGGTGATTTTGTGTGTATGTGTGTCTACAAATCCAATAACAATCCTCATTAAGAGTTGCAAAACATGAAACCATTTTGATCTCAGACAGATGGCAGCTAAATGAAGTTTAATTAAAGAATGAGAGCTTTGATTCAAATCATTTTTAAAATATAGCATACCGAGACGCTGGAGAAACAGCATAAACAGCATCTGGGCTTTTATTCAGAACCCAGAATCCATTTGTGAGGAAACACTGTGCAAAACATTTCAGTGAAATGAGTTTGTCAACAACCTCTTGAGAGACTCAAGCTACTGGCCGGATACAGCATAGAAATCTTGCTTTCTCGCTGAGATAATATGGCAAATGCCTAGGAAACTGCTAAGGAACCAATGAGAATTTT